ATTTCTTGTTGATGCCATTTTCCCTCTGTTTTAAAGCTACCAGTTGGCCCTACTGATTCCAGTAGGGCATTTTTCCTTCTGTTGCTCTAGATGCTTATTGGTGTCTTTGCTGGCGGTTGGGTTTGATGAGAGATTTTTTTACATCTAACTACTGTTATCCTGTATTGAACATGAGGGGATCTTTTTATACATAGTGATTGGCTGAATGGTGACATGTGACAATACCCTAAATTGGGATCTTTGATTATCTTGTAGTTCCCCGTCTGTAAAATGGGGATAATGGTACTTCTGTACCTCATTGAAGATTATGAGGTGCTCAGATGCTGTGGTAGTGGGGAGCCACATAAGTACCATAGATAGATAAGGTTCCATCATTTGGAGATGTCACCAATACCAGAACTGCTTGATCTCTTGGTGTCTGATGTCCTGGTATGACGGGTGCTGTTGTTAGAATGTGTTTCAAATAAAAATTATTCCTTCCCACACTGATCTGGAGTCCTGGGCTAGCAACAGCTGTTTAAATGACTGTTGCTAGCATACTTTCAAATGCAGTGTAGGAAGGGCACAGAAGAATGCAGAACCTGCTGAACAAGTCTGGCATCTCTGACATCTGGTTTGGAATCTAGACTAGCTGAACCAACAACCAGGTTACCTCCGGCAGCCAACCCTGCTGCTGTTTCTTTCTAAATCCTTCGCCAGCAAAACTACTGCCCAGGTCAGAGGTTTTGTTCTAAAGTCTCACGAGGTGTAACGGGGCACCGACGAGGCAGTGCGTTCTGATTTAATTACAGTGCTTGTACAGGTTGTTGCGTTATAAGCAGGTTCCTTTCCTATTCTAGGAAAAGTTGCGTGGTGGAAACCTAGTCTAGTTGCAGTCTTCTGCTATCAGTGTGTCACTAACATTCTTGCAGGTGAAGTGCTGTGCAGGCAGGCGTGTGAAATATGTACAGGGAATCTAGCAAAACTCAGCTGAATCCAGGCTGTCTTCTCAGTCTGTAATGTGATCCCACAGGTAATCTGGCCAGGGATGCTGTTATAAAGTGGTGGCCTGTACATGGATTATTGGAGTCAATAAAACAAATGGGGTCCAAGTATGTGTGGCTGGATGGAAATACGTATTAGTGTGTGTGTGTGTGTGGCGGGGGGATCATTTGCATAGCAGGGCATCCTATGACATGGGATCGATCATATGTTCGTTATTGCTTCAGCACAAAGGAGCTGAGTTAAGAGGATGGGGTGACAATACCACTTTACTGTTGCTACATGTACTAAATGTGTAGTAGTTCAAAGAACACTGGCTCATGCTGTCGCACCACAGGCCCTGCTGGCTTTGGAGAGTCAGAGCCATCATGTTGGGTAATGTTTTTAGCGAGATCATGTTTTACCAACACCCCATGGAACTGATACTCTTTCTTGCTTTCCACCACTTCTGACTCTTGATCTACTTTTAATACATTTTACACCTTCAAACTATGGTAGAAGCACTTACCTTCAATGGTCCTGGCAGGTGGGTGATAGTCAACTCAGTCATATAGGTGAGGGAAACTGAGGCACAGCAGTGCAGTGATTTGGCCAAAGTCAGCGGTGGACAGATTGAGAATAGAGCCCAGCTGATCCCACATCCCAGTCGTGCATTCAGACCACTAGATAACGGTGTCTCACCTGAAAGCTGGCTCAGTGGCTGTCTCATTTCCCCTCTGACTGCTCTTCGTTGTGCACTGCGTAATTCCACAGCCAGATGCTTGTGGCGGGATTTGTTCACCCACATGGAAGTGATTATGCAAAAGCAAAATCTCTTCCAGCCTTTAGACACAGCGCTCGGTAATTCACCATGATGGAAAAGGAAATGCAATAAAAGAACATTTGCATAGTAGGAGGCTGTTCCGCTCATTAGCTTCCTGTGGTGCAGAGGCTCTTTAACTGAAAATTTCCTTCCTCTTTGTGGGCTCGGCTCACCAAGCCCCCTCTGTTGGTGTACTTGTGTGAGTTCAATGGGTGTTCCCAGGTAGGCTCAGTGCAAGATTTGGGTTCACTTTTAAGCAAAAGTGGCTTTATAAAACCCTTAGTAGGAGCCCTTCTACTCTCCTTAGCATCCATGGAAACAAATCTTTGGGGGTTAAATAAGCCTGAGGAACTAGCCTGGGACTCTGGAGATTCACGTTCAGTTCCGTTCTCTGCCACAGACTTCTTGTCTGACCTTGGGCAAGTCACTTATCACTCTGTGCCCCATTGCAAGACATCTGTGGTGACGTTTGTGAGGCACGTGGGTACTACGGTACCGTAGAAGTATGTAGAAATCTGTGTAGTGGCTGCAACCCAAACACGGCAGAACTGTGTGAGCTGCCGTCTTACTACGTCCTGTTGCTTCAATACCTCCAAAACCAATCCTTTCCTCGCTGTCTCTACTTTTGCTTTGATTATTGTAACCTTTCCTCACTGCCTCTCAACTCTCCCCCTGCCCAATTGGTTCAAAGTGCAGTTGTTGAATAAGCTTCCTCTTCCCTTTTCAGCCAAGTCACGCCATCCCACGGGCCCACTCAAGTCCCTTCGTCGGCTTTCTGTCTTCTCCCACGTCTGATTCAAGTTCACTGTCCTTGCTTGGCATAATCTGACCCCCTCCCCAGCCTGTCTGTTCTCATTTTCTAGTTCCCCATTCGTAAACTCTTCCCAGTCCTCCCACTCGCGGCTTCCTGTATGTTCTCAGGCTGCCTTACCCCCGGACCACTCTCCTTGCTCTCCCCTGTCAGCCACTTCTAATTCCCGTCTGCCTCTTTCTCCTCCACACTCGGCCTCCTTTGAACTACTAGCTAGTGACTTGTCTTATTTTGTTCAGACTAAGCTCTGAAGGGCAGGAAATGTGTATAAATAATACCGTAGAACTAGAAAGTGACATATGGCCTGCATCTGACTTAACATGATTTATAGACAGAAAAATAATAGGGAAATACCTTTACACTATAGAGCTGGCCTTCCTAATTGTTATTTGTGGTGTTACTGTCTAGAGCAGGGGTGGGCAAACTATGGCCCGGGGCCCGCATCCGGCCCTTCGGTTGTTTTAATCTGGCCCTCAAGCTCCTGTCGGGGAGCAGGGTCCGGGGCTTGCCCCGCTCCATGCGTGCCGTGGCTCTGTGCGGCTCCTGGAAGCAGCAGCATGTTCCCCCCTCCGGCTCCTATGCGTAGGGGCAGCCAGGGGGCTCCGCAAGCTGCCCCTGCCCCAAGCACTGCCCCCGCAGCTCCCATTGGCCAGCAACCACAGCCAATGGGAGCTGCAGGGGCGCTGCCTGTGGATGGGGCAGCGCACAGAGCTACCTGGCCATGCTTCCGCGTAGGAGCCAGAGGGGGGACATGCCGCTGCTTCCGGGAGGTGCTTGAGGTAAGCGCCACCTGGAGCCTGCACCCCTGACCCCCTCCCATGCCCCAACCCCCTACCCCAACCCTGATCCCCCTCCCACACCCTGAATTCCTGATTTCTGGCCCCACCCCAGAGCCCGCACCCCCAGCCAGAGCCCACACCCCATCCCCCAATTTCGTGAGCATTCATCACCCTCCTTACAATTTCCATACCCAGATGTGGCTCTCAGGCCAAAAAGGTTGCCCACCCCGGACTAGAGGCCTGCTTGATTATTTGCAGTTTAAATAAGGTTATTTTAGTAGGTGAGAGATGGAAAATGTGTTATACGTATGGATAGGATTTATTCTGTTTGTGTGGAAATGTGAATTAGGTTTGTTACAAAGGATAAACATCTCTATCATTGATTGTTGATGACAAAAGTCTAAAGTGAAACTTTATTGTACAAGTTGAGATGCGGTAAGCAACTTAGTGGCAAAAATAGACTTTTAAAACCTCTAGCCATCTGTTAATAACATAGGGAAGGGTATTTGTGTTTTAAAGAGAAATAAGCATAGATTATAAATAATTATGTATATTGTGTGACTCTTCCCAGTTTGTTTGACTGTATTTCTAATGCGCTCATCACATGAGTCTGTTTGATGGCTCTTCTTTGGAGCCAGTCATCCAACTGTCTGCGAAGCGAGGTTGTGTTGAGATGGTGTAACCACGCAACCATTTTGCTAATGCACATGCCAGAGCGTAAAGTGTGGTTAAGGGCTGTACAGAGAACATAAATATGAGCAGATCTATTAGGGGTGAGGAAGTGAGTTTATGTGGGAATGAAGGTAAATGAACAGATGAGGCATTGGGGTATAATGACCATGACGAAGAAAAAGGCAGAGGCTGAAATCACAGACCGTAAACCCTAAAATAAAGATATGGATTTAAGTTGACCAGCAGCTAGGAATAGGCGGCTGAGGGAAGAGAAAACGAATGACTTGATTCATGTCAGATCTAACTGACCTGGCTGTTTCCCTGGCGTAGGGTGCCCCGACAGCAGAGGGGTGATATGAAAAAATATGATTATAACAGTTTCTCCAGGCAGCTTGGTATTTCCTGTACTGAAGCAGGTCGGGGAGACAGGTCGGGGACTAGAGAAGTCGCGCACTATTGAACTAGTGAATTATTGTAGCTAAACTGACTCTACCGACCTTGGTTGTTGATCATTAACAATCCAGAGTCGACCCCGCTGTTAATCTACAACAGGGTCCAGCAGGTGCCAAACAATAGGCAGTCACAATGGCTGGTAAAGGAGATTGAAAATGTTCCAAACATTAGACTGGGACAGGAGGGAGGTGTTTTTTGGTGTCTACAGTTAGAAATTTATTTCCACATGTAGGCATCTAAATAGAAGTGATCTGATTTTTTTTCAGAACTGCTGAGCACATGCAGCTCTCAATGACTTTAGCTGCAGCTGTAGGTGGTAAGCGCCTCTAAAAATGAGGCCACTAATTTAAGTGCTTAACTCTAGAGGTCAAGTCAGAGAATTTTTGCACAGCCTTTTCAATCCCCGGTTACCCGTAAATGTGTCAACGCACTGAAGTGGATCTTCTAGACCAATAGTTATGCTGACTGTCCTTGTTTCCCCCTTCTGTCTGTTCATAGGTAGGGGACCACAAATTTAGCGCCCACCGGATCGTATTAGCAGCCTCCATCCCTTACTTTCATGCCATGTTTACAAATGACATGATGGAATGCAAACAGGACGAGATTGTCATGCAAGGAATGGATCCAAGGTAACTCCCTGGGACAACCAAGGGACCATAGCCAATACGGCTTGTCAGTGGTGTTTTTGCCTATATCTGCAGACAAATGCAAGTGTATAGGTTTAGAAAAATGCCTTAAAGGGTTAAGATAAATCACATTTTTAAATAAATTTATGTTGCTACTAGCATCTTAGATTGTTATTAAGTTGAAATAATCGAATAGAGCGGAATGCAACTGACCCTTTTTCTGCTCCTCTCCACCCTGTTTAGTGCACTAGAGGCTCTGATCAACTTTGCTTACAACGGACACCTAGCGATTGATCAACAGAATGTTCAGTCTTTGCTGATGGGGGCAAGTTTCCTTCAGCTGCAAAATATCAAAGACGCCTGCTGTACCTTTCTCAGAGAGAGGTAAGGGTACCCTGTGTCCTGTGCCTTTGACTGGTCCCTTGGAACGTGGGGTCATGGGTTCTGGTCTTGCTGTGGAACAGGGTGGTGGGATTGTGCTATTAGAGGACAAGATGCTAAACTGTGGTCCTTCCTTCCTTCCAGTTGCTTGTGGTGGGTTCAGGAAAAAGTTAAATATCCTTTGGTCCTTTACAAGAAGGGTGGAGGACTCTGTATCTTCATTCCATGTCTCAGTAGAACTGGTTGTCCAGCTGTGGGTGGTGGAGCAGGCTATGAGACCTTAGATGGGCATGAGTTACTATCTGGAACAAAGGTGACACATCCCGATGACTCCAACTGAAAAATGGAAATGCTAAACGGACATGTTTTACTGCACTCAGTAAGGTTTCATTGTGCAAACTCTCGTACTATGGGCTCTGCAAGTCTACTGCACTCTCTTGATCCACTTCTTGAATGCAGCTATAAACCAGCTTTATCGCAGCTTTAGATCTATCCTTAAAATGTTTCTTTGGGGTTTGATGTAGGAACTTGTACTCCCCATCACGATAATATATCTGAGCACCTCAAACAGTGATTTTATCCTGTGAAATAGGAAGGGATTGTCCCCAGTTTACAGACTGGGAAACCAGGCACAGATTAAATGATTTATGAAAGGTATCTCAGGGTGCCTGTGGAAGAGCAAGGAATTGATCCCAGGTCTTCTGAGTCCAGTCCAGTGCCTTTGCTACAGGACCATCTTAGTAATAAATGTCAAGATCCTATAAAGCAAGGAGTTTGGTTAGTGTCTGGAAATATACCATACGTTCATCATTGGTAGTGTCAGGTCAACTTCGTTTTTGTGTTTTACTATGCCATGTTCTTCCGCAGCTCCTCAGTTCATTCCATGATATTGCACCAAACATACGTAATAAATGCAACATCTCGACCAGTTTTTTTCATTCTGTATGGACTTATCCTAAAATGCATGATTCAGAGAAGAAATGTACTTTGGCGCTGTTTCAGATGTTTCCATGTGAACCCAGGGGTTCTCTGCTATGTGTAAAACATAGATACTTAACTCAAATAATTAGTCAAATCATTACATACTTGGTTTTTCCTGGCAAAAAATAAATTTTTGCACACTGGGCTCGGTACCAAACGGAGAGAAGTGGATTGCACTGGTGAAGTGCTGGGGCCAAGCTTAGAGACTCAAATCCATTTTTAGGCACCTAAATAAAAGTGGCCTGATTTTTTCCCCCAAAGGTTCTGAGCTGCCGCAGCTCCACCTCAACTTATTGGGAGCTGCTTATGCTGAGCTCCTAAATATGGATTTGAGAGGGTGGTTAAGGTTTTTATGTATAACGAGATACATTTGAAATTCAGTGGGCTCTGATCACATGCCTCAGGAATAGCCAGAACATGCATGTCTAGTTCCAGTTTTTACAAGAAGGATCTGATGACTGAGGTTTTTTATACTTTGACTTTACTCTGTGTTCCTGGGGATTTTCTGGGTGTTGGTGACCTCACAGTTTGCGAGGATGTAAAGTCCAAGGCTGTGTAAACCTTTGCTTGGCAGGCAATGGCTGCTCTTTCCCTCCACTCGCAATATCTAACTCTTTGCTTTGTAAAGTACTCTTGGTTCACCCCATTATTAAATGTGCCACAGTGTTGTTTTAGATGTTCGGCTCTTTATGCCCTGTAAGAGCTTGGCATTGCCAGACCTTCAGGGTTCTGTACTCATCCTCTCCGTGGTCATTGCTTGGATGCTCTGCTGATGTGCGCTCAGAATTGGTTATCTAAAGTTTGAAAGCAACCGAGAAGATTCCCTCTTCAGAGGATCAAATCCAAAAAGGCAGCTTCCTTGTGGTGGATCTCCCCTTGACCCCTTCTGAAGACTGCGGAAACTTGCGCCTAGGGTTTATTTCCGTTCAGACGTCAGGACTGAAAGGAGGAGGAAGAGCATAAAAGGAAGGTGCCCAAAATTTGACCTTTGGGCTAAAGGCAGTTTATGGAGTCTTTGAATGGTAACACACAGCTAGTAGGCTCTTAAATATGGAGGTGTGGTCCCTGGAAACGCCAAGCATGCATGGCTCCATCTTGATCAGAGCATTCTGTTTGCTGCTGCTGTAGTGAATGGTCTAAGCTCAAACCACAGAGTTTGCCCTGCTGTGGTACGCATGACTTTGTGGTCCCCAGTTAGGCAAAGTTGAGGCATTTCTGTCAGAGTCTGATTCTGGGCATTGTAGGGCTAGTTTAATAGTGAGGCAAGAGTGGTACCAAATGTTTCCACAAACTATTTTCATTTGGGTTAGAATAAGAGAAACTAACAATAGTATTCTGACATGCCTCATATCTATATGACCCATAAATACTGTGAAACAACCAGAATGGTCATCTCTTGTTGACGGATCTGGTGGCAGAATTTCTTCCTTAGATGGGAGTTTCCAAATCTCCCATAGCGTGGACTTGATTTTCAGCATTTTTGCAAGTTTTTAGGAAACATCTGTGCCGAAAGCTCCTTGCACCACACAGTTGCTTAGAGCAATACATTTTCAGTTCTTTTGTGCTGCTTTATGATGGCATGCAGCAGCACCTGTTCAGCTGGTCTGATCACTAGTTCATTTCTGCAGGGATTGTTCCTGCATTCTGACCTTTAATTGCTAAAAGACATCCTCAATAGAGCTTTGTTGGCCAGGAAAATCAGGTAAGAAGAGGTGGCCAACATCTCACTTCAGTAATTAGCAAAGGTATCTGGTGAAAACAAACAAGGTTTGTAAGTTTCTGAAGAACACACTTCTCCTTGCTGTCAAACCAACAGGTTTCATTCCTGGAATCTGAAGTCATACTTGTGCATGGAATAGACATTGTGTAGACCCTTGCACTGCTACTCCTACATGTCACAGCCTTGACTTTAGGAGGCCCGCCCGGGGAGAGTGCACATCAGTCTCTAGGTCCAGTCAGTCCTTGGCACTTCAGAGAATGTCAGCAAGGGGGCTTATTGTTCGTATGGTGCGATTCCCCGTCCTCTTAATTTGGCATGTGTCAATCTTCATGACTGTGCATACGCTGGCCAGTTTAACCTGCGAACTGGTGTCTGTTGGAAGGGTGAGTTCTCTAATGTGGCACATCCATCAGTTTCATAAGGTTACATTTTCCCTTGGTTCAGTTTCACATTCACTGCTTCTTTGGACCGCATTAAAAACGTGTAAATTGCTAACCTTTCTATTAAAATAACGTTATTTTGCATCCCCCCCAAGGCTTCATCCGAAGAACTGCCTGGGTGTACGTCAGTTTGCAGAAACCATGATGTGTGCCGTGCTCTACGAATCTGCCAATAGCTTCATCCACCAGCACTTTGTGGAGGTGTCCATGTCCGAAGAGTTCCTTGCTCTACCCTTCGAAGACGTGCTGGAGCTGGTTTCGAGGGAAGAGCTCAACGTCAAGTCTGAGGAGCAGGTATGTGCACCAGCCGGTATATGGTATAGCAGAGGCAGCTTTTGCCACCAGAGGATTTGAAACCATTGGGGCAGTCGCATGGCAGATCTGGGTGAGAAGTTGAACTGGTCCATGCAATGATCAAAGCTGAGAAGATGGTCTTGTTGTGGATGGCGGGTGGTGCTCCGACTCTTTCATTCTGTACATAACTTGTAAGAATTGGGGCTTCTCTCAGCTTAGTTATCAGAACACTGTTCTGGAGAGCACCCGTTATTTGCCAAGCATGGCACTGAACTGTGCTGAAATGTTCGTGGCAGAGAAACCTTGACATCCTGAACTCTAGCGATTGTGCCTCTCGCTTTAATGAGTGACTTTCAGTTCTGGAGAAAGGTGCCGAGATCTCTGCCCTGGAGGCAATCTCTAGAACTACAGAATAAACAGTGTTTCAGCCTTATTCTGGAGGGATTTCCTTCGAGGGTTGAGATGCTCTACAGCATTTTGTAATGAATCTTCCTCCTGAAATTGCCAATGAGAGGGTCGGTCAGGGTGGTGGCTTACATAATATGGAGGCCTTTGTACAAGGAACTGGACTGAACCACACCAAGTCGCTTCGTGCAGGCCACTGAATAACCGTCGCCACTTTGACCCGTAGCAGCAGCAATCTCGGTTTGAATGGGAGATTTGCAGCTGAAAGGCTCCGCGTCCTGCTGCCAGTGCTCAAGCCATCGCATCCCCTGTGGTGGTGCTGGGGGCTTATTCCTAGAGAAAGAAATCAGACTTCTAGAAAGTCCGGGTTGGAAAAAGAGGGCCCTGGTTAGAGGTATAAGCATCAGGTCTGAAACGTCTTCTCTCCTTAGAACCTCTTGTTCAAATTTCAGGCATGCTCAAATCAAGCTGCCTTCTTTTGAGGCAGGTAAACTTTAGCGCAGGCTTTGTATCTTTCATAGGATTTTAAAATGAAAGGTCCTCCCCGCTGCTTGAAGCAGTTATGATCCCATGACTCTCCTTGTGAGCGGCAGACTCTGTTCCAATGTCCTTGGTGACCGTTTCCCTTCTAACTGTTGTGCAGCAGGCTGGCTGCAGCCCTCCACCTCTGAGATGGTTGCATTTTAGTGTGGTGCAGCATGCAGTTGGATTGTACAGTAGAACCTCAGAGTTACGAACACCAGAGTTAGGAACTGACTGGTCAACCACATGCCTCATTTGGAACCGGAAGTACACAATCTGAGAGCAACAGAGACGAAAAAAAGCAAATGCAGTACAATACTGTGTTCAATGTAACCTACTGAAAAATACAGGGAAAGTTTTTTTTTTTTTAAAAAGATTTGATAATGTAAGGAAATGGTTTCTGTGCTTGTTTCATTTAAATTAAGATGGTTAAAGCAGCATTTTTATTTTGCATTGTAAAGTTTCAAGCTGTATTTAAGTCAGTGTTCCGTTGTAAACTTTTGAAAGAACAACCGTAACGTTTTGTTCAGAGTTATGATCAACCTCCAATCCCGGGGTGTTCGTAACGCTGAGGTTCTACTGTACAATGTTTTGGGGTCTTCTGTGGTGCAAGTTGCGTTTAAAGATATGACTACCAGCTGATCTGTGGGAGAAATACTTTATGCTAGAAACCTCTAGAGAACGGAAGTGGGAGGTTCTGGCTTTGTCCAGGGTAAAATGAAAGGCTTGGAAACTTTGGTTTGATGTGTGTGGCTATCCAAATTTTCTCCATGACAACCCAATATTTAGCAAGTGTGCATGATGGTTAGTGGCCTGTTTCAGTGGCAAGGTTACACCACAAGGTGGCAGCAGTAACGACAAATGCCAATAATCAGATGTTTACAAAGCAAAACTTTTTCTGGTACTCTTAGTTCAGTTCTTGGGAGAAGGGGGCGGAACCGTGTAAACTGTTGGCCTTAAAGGCACCAATTCTGTTCCACATCACGAAGAAGTGGGTTGTAGCCCACGAAAGCTTATGCTCTAATAAATTTGTTAGTCTCTAAGGTGCCACAAGTACTCCTGTTCTTTTTGCGGATACAGACTAACACGGCTGCTACTCTGAAACCTATCAGTATTGTGGAGACCTCGGTTCAAATTCTTATCTGCTGCTGATCAGCCCAGCAGGATCTCTGGATGCAGTGGCAGCAGCCTGGTTAGACCAGTGGGACAATGCCCCCTGAAAGGGAAGTTCTCAGCTGCACGCCCAGAAGGTCAACAGAGCAATGGGTGGGGAATTGATTCCAAATCTGGGCCCTTATGAAGAATGCCCTGCGTTATAATGGACCCCTCTGGTAATTCAGGAATGGGGTTGATGGCCTCTGTGATTGAAAGGTGTATGCTAAGAATGGGGAAAGGAATAATGTGGTGAGCTTGGGTGTTAGTTGAGACACGCTGGTTCTGAATGGCGAAGTGTAAGTATCTTTGCTCTAGATCCCTTGAGTAACTTCTGTTTTCCTGATCACCTGTGCACCTTGGCGAGACGTTCCTTTTATTACAGTCCATCTGTTCAAATTTGTCTTCATCCCTCCTTTTGTGAGCAGCCTCAGGACAGAGAAAACAAAATCTCATGTCTCCCCCAAGCACAGAGACCTAGCAAAGAAATGGCTCCTCTCTCTTCTGGCAGGTATTCGAAGCTGCGTTAGCCTGGGTACGGTACGACCGAGATCAGAGGGAACCCTGCTTACCTGAGCTACTGTCCAAAATCCGACTGCCCCTTTGTCGACCTCAGTTCCTCACTGACCGTGTGCAACAAGATGACCTTGTCCGCTGCTGCCACAAATGCTGGTGAGCGCTTGTTGGCTGTTCAGGAGTTGTCCAGTGTGTGTGGGCCTCCGTGCGGATAGTGTGTTGGATTGGCTGTCCCAGAGACTGAAATCCTCTCTCCATGAAATGGGAGTGCCACATGTAGCAGAAGAGCGATTCCCTCATGCTGCCCTGCTGAAGTGGCTAAACCATCATCTAGAAGGATTAGCTCTGTAAGGTAGAGAAGAGATCAGTTGCCATAATCATTGGCAGCTTCAGCAGAGGGGCCAGTTGGATGGTGGTCCCAAGACCCACCAAACTATCGTTCTAACGTTTGGTCTTAATTTCAGGGACCTGGTGGATGAAGCAAAAGACTATCACCTAATGCCAGAACGCCGGCCGCACCTCCCGGCATTCAAAACGCGTCCCCGGTGCTGCACGTCAATCGCAGGATTGATTTATGCTGTTGGAGGTCTTAATTCAGCAGGTACCTTGCATATCCACTTCCCACAACTACACAGTGACGTGTTTACTGAGTAATGGCATCAGACTGTAAACTTCATTCTTCACCCTTAAAATGGGGAGCAGTTTCTCCTGCTCTTCCCTTTTTCTGCAGCCCTTTGTTGACACTCATGCCATCCAGCCAACAAAATGCTGATGGGGGCTGTTGCCAGTTGTTGAACCTTTATCACTCTAGGAATGCTGGGTGGATTGCTCGGGGATATTGTTTCCAGTTTTTGTGAAATTGCACCGAACACAAACTTGTTGCATCCGTCTCTTTAAAATCACGGGGTCCTGTGTAAGTGTGGAGAACCCTGAAGGCAGTAATAGAAGAACATTTTGGCAGGATTCATGCATTGCATTCAAGCGTACAACAGCTAAAATAATTGCAGTGCTCTTTGGTCTCTTTCAAAGGAGCAAAGTCCGTGTAATAAAGGCTGTTTCCATTTCCATTATGAACCTTTCTGTTGTACCTTGACCATGAAAACATGGCTCGTGCCACGGCAGGCTTCATTGTGGGAACAAGAGCACGTGTTAGTTGTTCAGCTTCTCTTTGATTTAGGTACACATGGAGTCGCTCCAAGGACAGTATGCTCCCCATTATCCGAATAGCAGGGGGCACACAAGTTTTATTCGAATAATCAGGAGTTTGGGTGATGGAGAGGACAGGAGCCTCTTCCTTGCAGTCCTGGCCAGGGGTCTCTGCGCTGCCCTGCTCATTTGCTCCCATGACACTGGGGATCCAGAGGGCTCGCTGTGCTGCCGCAGAGCCATTGACACCCAATCCCTTCAGACACGAACACCCCCGACCAGGGCTCTGCCCCGTCAGGACCGCAGCCTTCCCTGCACCTTGTGCCTGCAGGGATCGGATGTCAGTGGCCCTGCGGCAGCGGAAGGAGCCCTCTGCTGTTACTACCCCACTGGTTCCCTCCCATGACTACCAGGCTGCAGAGCGTTCCCCGCACTGCCACAGGAGCCATTCAGCTGCAGGGCGGCCTCCCCTGCGGCCGGGGACTCCTCATCCTCGCCGTCCTGGACAGGGGTCTCTGCTCTATTTTCCGAGCCTCCCGGTTATCCAAATCCCTGCCTTGTTTCCCCAGCATGAGATCCATGGGGGACAAGGAAGGGATTTGATCAAGCGGAGGTTCAGCTAGTAGGATTTCGGATAAACTGGACTCTACCATAGTTCTTTAGGCCCACGGTCAACCTGCTTAAACCCAGGAAACTTACGATAGCTTTTAAAATGGGCTGCTGCATGGCATTTATCCTACTCACTAATGCCCTGGATCCAATGAACACACGCATATTACAGGGCTGCCTCCTGAGGCCTGGATTCCCTACCCTAGAAGGATGAAGACAGCCATGCGGGAATGTTGTGGCCGTGATTCCAGGGAGTCGACTGGCCCCCGCGATGTTAATTGTTAAGTCTCAGCCTGCTACCCGCTCTGAGGGTCCTGCCTGTGGTTTGATTGCAGGGGCCGGGCAGGGGCAGGATGTCAGGAGTCTGCAAGCAGTTTGGATTGTGGAGACCAGATTTACAGGAACTCCCTCCAATGTTGAGCAGTTCCCCATCGGGGTTGGGTGGAGATGGGGTGTTCTTGCATCTGCTGACATTTATGTAGGAAGGTGGAGATGCAAGGGCTGAGGAGGCTGCACCAACCTGGAGCCTCGAATAGGGACCATTTACAGGCTCCACTACCATTCCATAGCCTGGGGGGCAGGATCCCTTCTCTGCTGCCGCCTGCGCAGGCCATCCCTACAGATACTCAAGGCACTGAGCCCAGGTTTTGCCCTTAACACTCGGAGCACAAACCCTGTATCCCCATTATCCTTCCGTGCATGGATGAACAGATGGGAAAAGTCCATCGCTTTCTGCTTCTGCCCCTGTTCAGCAGACTCCAAAAAAAAACAAAACCAAAAACTATCACTTTTTTTAATTTGAGTAGCAAATTTTTATGCAGGTGTTGCAGTGAACGTGGTGGAAGTCTTTGACCCCATTGCAAATCGCTGGGAGAAGTGCCAGCCGATGACGACGGCACGTAGCCGAGTGGGCGTGGCTGTGGTGAATGGACTCTTGTATGCCATTGGTGGATACGATGGCCAGTTAAGACTGAGTACGGTGGAAGTTTACAACCCAGAGATGGATTCTTGGTCCAAAGTGGGAAGCATGAACAGCAGACGAAGGTACGTGAGACATACACTCCGTTCTGTACCAAGAATTTGAGCGGGAAAGGGATGAAATGGTCACAGTGGCAGGGAAAAATCTCGGAAGCAGTAGTGCTGAAAATGGCTGAGGTGACCTGGGAGATCAGAGTTTGCAGTGCGATACAATAGGAGAAAGATCCATACACATTTTGGGCTGCATGCACAAAGGAATGGAACAGGAAGGGAATGGTTGTGCTTTGCATAGCTCTGGTGCAAGCGCACTTGGAATGTTACATTCTGTTCTGGGCTCCTCTTTACCAGAATGACTCACCAGAGGGGGTTCAGAGAACATCAGCGTGAGTCTAGAGGGATTGATGTACGAGGAAAGATACGAAGAGCTACATATGTATGGTGTGGCTACACAGTGACCAAGGGCGGGGACAGAACTCTATTGGTGTAAGTGTTGGAGGGAGAATTATTTGTGGTGGCACAAAGAAAAATAAGATGAAATTGAGACAGGGAAGACAGGCTGAATATCAGAGAGAATTACTGGTCGATCTTTAAGGATGTGGAATAGATTCCCAAAGGAAGTAGCGGAAGTCATGTTGCTTGCAACCTTTTAAAAACTAGACTGGATAAAGCAGTGGAAAATGTGTTGTAGGGAACGCTCATTCACTGGCAGACAGGGTGATGGACACATGGGTCTTCTGTCTCTCTGGTGCACTCATGCATCGCTGAGCGTATAGGCTCCTCCACTGGAAAGCGTAGCCAGTTTACACAATGCAGGGCTTGCAGTCCAGGCGTTGCAAAATGAGACCTGAGTGATCTTATGGCTGAGCAGAAGAGCTGGTGGTTTATATGCTGAGCAAGGGGAAGTTGGTGCAGTTCACACCAACCTAGGAATTATGTTGTGGTGGCACTTGGAAAGGCACCCGGTGTTATGTGGCCAACAATGTTGAAAACCCACCTATTAACTCTCCTGGCAGCACTGTCCCTCCTTCCGCAGCAGCCTGTGGCTCGTTTATCTCCTTCCAAATTTAAACATGTTTGTGGCTTTCAGTGTTTTTACTCTGGTTTCTTTTTCCTGCTCCTTGGTCGCTGAGCGTTCTTAAATTGCCCACTTCTGCTAGCTTTGCAGCACGTTTTCCCCATCATCGTTTGTGCACCTTATTTTAATGTGGTTTCAAATGCTAATCGCTTGGGAAGGGCGTACTGCGTATATCTTGTTACTTGAAATTCGGTGTGTAACCCGGGTGCTTGGTGGCATCAGTGCGATTCTGCTGGGATTGCGCTTGTTCAGGGTGGTTAGCTGCTCTGTTCAAGCAAATACAATTTAAAATCTGTAGTGCATAGTCCGGGAGTTAAGCAGGTTGTGCCAAGTAAACCCTGTTCAGACTGGTAGCTGGCCAAGGCTTTAGGTCTGGCTCCAGGGACGATCTTGAGTGTAAAGTCCTGAAACCATTTCCACGCCTATCATAATCTCTAATAGGAAAACTCTGTTTTTCCATAGCTATGAGGTTCCTTGTATGGAGCTTTTCCCACAGTAAGACGACCACTTTTCTTCCATAGCTGACTTATTCTGCTCTTTGCACCAGGAACAAAGCAGCTCAGTTTGCTAATCCCCTAAACAACGTTCTGGGCTGCAACCCTGCCATGAGGATCCTGTTCTGCTTGCACTTCACTGGCGTGTGCATCATGAGAGTGTTGTCGTTTCATCCTCGCTAAAACTTAGTCCTTTGAATCCAAGCAGAGTGGGCGTCCATAAGAGGGTGTTTTACATAGAGCAGAGTGTGCCTGAAGGATTGTATCCAAGAGCTTGGCTTTTGCGGTCCATAATGGTTTTCTCATTGCATGATGAGTGCTGAGAGGAAGGGGGTGGGGCTTTAAGAGAAGAACATAAATGTGAAGCTGCAGGTTTAATTTGAAGGTGGAATTCCATTGTCCCATTCCTTAACGTGCATTGCAAGCCAAATGTTTAAACCTGTCAAATACAGGGGAGGGCTGACCAACTTAACGGAGTTGACATTGGTACAATAAAACAATTGCTGCCTATATAAGGGTTTTGTACTGAAGCCCATCACCATCTTCCACACAAAATCAACAGCAAGAGTAAAGTCCCTAGTGGACTTCATGGAGTCTATGGCACATCTCCTTTTTCAGGGCCAAAACTCTTCTTGGGGTAAGGTTTGTATTTTGGGATAGGAGTTGGAAGGGGAAGGGAAAAAGGGGACATTTGTATTAGGACTTAATGTAGAAAGGTCTGTTAGTGTGAAACCTGCTTTGGGGGCAGACAAGTGGTTTAGCACACCAGTGATGGAATACTGAGCCTTTCGCTCCTAGGCTGGTTGGTTGATTCCATATTAGGTCAATGGTGACCAAAGTGTGCTCGGTTGAGTTGACCATCTTAGACCACTTTCTAGCTTGCTAAACCTCCGCCACCAGTCAGCTCCATGGGTGGCCACAGTTGATAGAGGTAAAAAGGAGCAAAGTCTAAATGTTATGCTCCCTAGAGTTGATTCTTTCAGGGCGGGGTTGAGGCATATTTGCATAAACATTTCTCTACATCTCTCAAGCTGTTTTCTAATTGGCTGCAGTTGACTTTATTCATGAACATCTCAGTGTTAGCTAGATGCTATGGTCTTGGGGGCTATATAAATATGTAGTTCAGTAGCTGTATCTATCGACCTGATTGTCAAACTCCCATTTCCACATTAAGCTGTTTTATCCACCAGGTGTCAGCCAAGATATGTTGAAAAAATGTGTTTCGTAATTCAACATGTATCATTTGCCCAAAGCAATCTAACCTGGTGTTGTGCACTTCATTGCAGCGCAATGGGAACAGTAGTGCTGGATGGGCAGATCTATGTATGCGGTGGGTATGACGGAAACTCATCCCTCAACTCCGTGGAGACGTACTCACCAGAAACAGACAAGTAAGAGCTTCTAAACGTACTACTGCTTCTCCCACTGGGCTCTGCCCATATCCTGAAGCATAGAAGTAACAGCTGAGAGCACTGTTCTTAAAACAGATGAGCAACAATATGTTGAAAAACCTTTTATTTCCTGTATAGCAACTAGATTTAACTTCAGACCATGCGCACTCGCTCGAGAGAAGTGAATCAAGTAAAATTTTGATACAGAGCTAAGGCCCTTCGTTTTCAGTTTTTACTGATTTCCCCTCTTCCCCCTCCCCCCATCTAAATTTTGGACTATTCAGGTACATGGAAATACTGATTTGTGTTAAGAAAATTCAGTACATTACATGAGAGAGATCTATTTGTTGACATCCAAATAGTTAAAGCGTAAATGCACGACTGTTAAAGTAAAGTGACACAGTCAAAGACACCCATGTGCACGTCCTGTTAACATACAGTTCATGAAATAAACCACAGCATTACGTTTTTTACTTTCAATACTCTTTTCCCTAGTCTTGCTTTTTTCTGTCCTCCCGTTCCCCAATATTAACTGCAGTATTTACCCAATAATCGGTGACACTAATTTATTGTGCTGGTATTCACCCAATTATTAATCTTTGTAATAAACACTGATAAATTCTAGGGAAATGTTTTGACAGAATAAAATCTGAGAACGAAGGGCCTTGTCCAGAGCTTATAGATGGTTGCTTGAAAAATACTAGAAACTCAGTACCTGAAAGGCTTCTGGGTCTTCTGAAACCTTTGTATAATCCATGGAGCAGCTCATTGAATGTGTTTATGTAGAGCTACGTGTGCTCTGCCTGTGGAAGGAAGAGACTCTTGCACTTCTGCTGTTTGCTTCTCTTGACAAGGTGGACGGTAGTGACTCCCATGAGTTCGAATTGCAGTGCGGCTGGAGTCACCGTGTTCGAAGGCAGGATCTATGTGTCTGGAGGGTACGACGGTTTACAAATTTTCAGCAGTGTAAGTCTGAATCTCAGCCAGTTCTGCACCACGTTGATTTCTTGTAACTTTGTGCCGATGAAGTTGGACTAACAGCACTGACCAGAGATCGGTAAAAGGGCAGGTGGGAAAGCTTACACAGCTCCCTAAGCTAAGCATACAGCTCCTTAGTCCTTCTCTTTAACGTCACCTGCTGATCTAGTCCTGGATGATACCTGAGCAGGGACCGCTAACTGAGCCACACAAATACCCACTAGGGGCTAGCCTGAGACACTGCAACTCCTGCTCACTTGTGGCCTGAGCTGAGAAGTGAGGCTGCTGCACTAGTCGACTCTGTTCTCACCAGTTCCTCCCTCTTCGTTTAGTAAATCATTTTAGCCTCGTGTCTTTGGTCCTTCGTGTTTCAAGCACCATTAAAACTCCCAGGTGCCTACGTTTGTTGCATCTGAATTCTTTGCCTGTTTGTGGGATGTGGTTTCAGAAACTATTGTGACCCTTTAAACAAACTCTGAAGGCAGAGGGAGTTGACCGTGCAGGACAGAGCTGCTTTTCCTAGTCTGATTCCAGTCTCAGCCCTAATTTATAGACTTCCTTATCTTTTTTTTTTATTCAGAAAAGTCTGTTATGGGGGTTCTCTTCTGCCCTACTGGGCACAGAAGTGCGGTTTGTTGTATCTGAATCAGTCTTGCCACCCAGTAAGTGCTCGTGGAACATTAGCTTGTCAATTGGAGGTCCAGCCTTTAGACTGGGCTGTAATATTGACTATTACTGCCTTCCCTAGCAGACTAGGAAAAAATCCTATTGTCTGTCAGCCTGAGACACCCAAAAGCTGAATCTGGGCTCACATATCGGCCTGCCTGGACCACGACTTTGCCATATTCCTCCTTGAGCTCTGTCAGTTAGGTCTATTGCTGCTCTTCAAGAAGAGGAGTGACTGACCATGCACTCCAGATCTACCACAGAGACATTCTGGCGACCCTATTTTCTTGTTGAAAAACCGTTTTGAGGTCCAAGTTGTCCTTGTAGAAGTCTAGATAAAATTATTACGTGGTGGGAGTGCACAACTGGTTGAAAAACCATACTCAGAGAGTGATTGTGAATGTTCACTGTCAGTCTGGGAGGAGATATCTAGTGGGGTCCAGCAGGGGTCTGTCCTGGGTCTGGTACTATTCCATATTTTTATTAATGACTTGAATAATGGAGCTGGAAGGGGGTGCAAGCACTTTGGAGGACAAGATTAGATTTCCAAATCACCTTAATAAACTGGTGAATTGTCTGAAAACAACACGATGTAGTTCACTAAAGATAAGTGCAAAGTAGTATACTTAGGAAGGAAAACTTGAATGCACAATTACAAAATGGGGACTAACTGGCTAGGCAGTTGTACTGCAGAAAAGGAACTGAGGGGATTACAAATTGAATAGGAGCCAACAATGTGACAGAGTTGCAAAAAAGTCAAATATCATTCTGGAGGGCATTAATAGGAGTGTCGTGTATAAGACACAGGAAGTGATTGCCCCAGTCCAGTCAGCGCTGGTAAGGCCTCAGTTGGAGCATTGTCCAGTTTTAGGCACCACGCTTTAAGAAAGAGGTGGACAAACGAGAGAGTCCAGAGGAGAGCAACAAAACTGATAAAAGGTTTCAAAAACCTGATGTAAGGTTATGAGGAAAGATTAAATAACACTGGGCATGTTTCTTCTTGCGAAAAGGAGACTGTGTGTGTGGGGGCGGGGGGGATCTGATAAGATCTGATATGTTAAGGGCCATTATAGAGAGGATGGTGATCAATTGTCCTACCTTTGGTGGACATGGAGAACGAGGCTCAATCTGCGGCAAGGAAGATTTAGGTTACATATTGGGAAAACTTTCCAACTATAAGGATACTTAGGCACTGGAATAGAGTCCCATTGGAGGCTGTGGAATCCCTATCATTGGAGTTTTTTAAGAAAGAGGTTAGACAAACACCTGTCAGGGATGGTCTAGGTTTACTCGGTCCTGCCTCTGGCGTGTGGAGGTTGGACTAGATGACCTGTGCCAGCCCTACGATTCTACGCTTCTATAAGCCATAAGACAGGTTAGCAAGAATGGCTGAAAGCTGAAGCCAGACAAGTTCAAGTTAGAAATTAAGCCTGCTATTTTTAAACTATGAGGGTGATTAACCATTGGCACCACCTACTGAGGGAGGTGGTGGAATCACCACCACCATATCTCCAAACAAAGACTGGCTGCCTTTCTGGAAGATGCTTCAGCCAAGTGCAAGGTATAACTGGGTGAAATTTAGTGGTCTGTGTTAAACAGGAGGCCAGACTAGATGAATTGATGGTCCCTTTCTGCCTTAAACTCTAAATCTATGAAGTCCTGATAAAAATTTCCTAGTCTGCCTGTAATTATCTTAGTTACATATTACCTAGGCTCAAGGGTAGCTCTCATTTCTTGTCCGCGTGCTACCCACAATGCAGGTGTACAAATGCCAGAACCCACTCAATGTGTCGACACTCTCTTAACTGCAGGTGGAGTACTACAACCATCACACAGCCACGTGGCACCCCGTCGCAAGCATGCTGAACAAGCGTTGTCGGCATGGAGCCGCCTCCCTGGGCAGCAAGATGTTTGTCTGTGGCGGCTACGATGGGTCCGGCTTCCTCAGCATCGCCGAGGTGTACAGCTCCATGGCGAATCAGTGGTACCTGATCGTCCCAATGAACACCCGACGGAGCCGCGTCTCCCTGGTAGCCAACTGCGGCCGCCTGTATTGCGTGGGTGGCTATGACGGACAGTCCAACCTGAGCTCGGTGGAGATGTACGACCCAGAAACCAACCACTGGACGTTCATGGCCCCTATGGTGTGTCACGAGGGAGGGGTTGGTGTGGGGCGCGTACCACTCCTGCCCATCTGAAAAGGAAGCATTGGTGGCTGTCTCCAAGCAACAATCTCTGGAGACGTTTAGCAAGGGTTTTATGATGTGATATATCAAGAGGTACATTTCTAGGTGCTCAAGTGTCATTCGCGAACACAAACGGTTCAAAAGAAAGTTGCCCTGCGATTTTTTGGGCTGAGGCCCAACAGCAGATGAATAATTCACCGTTCAGATCATGCGTGTGTAACCTACTCCCTTCCCTTCCCCCACACTTTGGTCATTACATGGATCTAAGGCGAGGCAGATGCTTCCTTCTCCTAGCCTTTGCTTCGGGTTCTGCATTGAACCAGATGTGGTCTACTTCTGGTTATGCTGTTGGGAAGCAGTGATGGAGTCTGTATGTTGGTTTGACCCTGTGTAAACTAATATTGGCCAGATCAGTGGGAGAGAGTATGCATGCAGTATGTTCAGGGCAAATGACCCTAATGCCACGATCCAGTTTATTATTAACTACAGGAGCCTGAGTATTGCAAACAGTCCTGTTCGTTCTGTTTAGTTACCAGGCACACTGGATTTTACCCACACTTACAAAACAAGAGGGGCTTTCTCACCAATATCGGTTCTTAGAAGCCCAGGAGTGGGGTAGTCCTTGGAGATGTGTCGCTTCCTTAATTTCGGAGGATCTATCTCTATGACCAGTGTATTTCATTTGCTTTATTCTGCTGGATCAGGAAAATTGGATGTAACCATTAAGAGAGATGACAAATGTTTTCCCCTCTCAAATTCTCCAAAAAAATAGATTAAAACATCCAACAGTACTAAAAGCCTGCTGAAAAAAAGTTGAATATAAAAGACACTAGCAGCAAACTTGTATTTAAATAGGAAAATTGCCAAAATGTTAATTATACAGATATCTTTTTTTTAAATTAAATCTGTTTTAAAGCTTTTTTCCTTTCACAAAACTTAGGCATTGGTTTCCAAAATACATATTAGAAACAGCTGGATTGCAGTATGGTCAATATCTGTCCAGCACCTCACATGTGCTTTGTTTTGGAAAGTTCCTGCTGTGCATTCAGATGTTTTTGATTTCACAAAAAGGTTGTGTGGGTTTTGAAATATGCACGTGGTCCGCTGGCTTCTGAGCTCTTACGTCTATTGTTGGTCTGTTTGACAGCTGTCATTCACTTAAGAAAGCTCAAATACAGACTTGGCCTTCACAGAGAAATAACGCATAGGGACAGACAATAAGGGTTTGTGCAAGGGACATAACTTGGGCCCCAGGAAAATCGCACAGGCACAGACTTTCAGCACAGCCGAAGGTTTTGTTAATCAGTGTCTAGCTTTTTCTATTTAGCTACACTGGAAAGATCTTTACAGCACGCTTGGTTGATGCTCTGTTAACCTAGCCATGCAGCCATTTTTTTACAGCCAAACAATGACCATTGCAAAAGTGTGAAATTGTCAACATCCTTCACTTAAAGGAGACATGAATGTGAAAGACTATTAGCGACCAAGCAGTCAGTCCGGTCTTTCCCCAGGAGTCCGTGCCCATATGTTCCCCACTGTTGTTTTCCTGTCATGCAGCCTACACTGGCAGAAGATAAGGCGTTCTCTACCCCTTCTTCCTTGGTTCTTTGCCTTTTTAATATCCTTGTCTCTCCTCTTCTGTAACTATTGCAAATGGAAGGACACATGGATCCTTGTGTTCTTACTGCAGCTGCGGTGGCACGTACCACCTGACAAAGAGATGCTTTGGAGTCTCCGCGCCTGCACCTTTGCCCTGGAGACTTGTCAGATGCCTTTATGTTGCCTGTTATCCTTTGTAGACCTGAAGAGTGGATGACTGGGTCCAAGTCTAAGGAGTCTCGTCCTACATTGCTGCCCGTGTAGCTACTTCAGGCACCGAGATCCGGCTTTACAATGATTTTTATTTTTTTTAATGCCTCAAGGTTACAAACTTTGCCACTTTTTTGGAAGTAGATCATCCCACAATGATTTGATTGAGTGGCCAGCACATTGATATGGTTGTGTATTCTAACTGGACAAGTCGTCAGAGTTCTCTCACGTCTGAGAGGGGGACAATTCTTTGAAACCTTCTTTTGTGCTAAATCAAGAAGCAACAACGTTTTCAAAATCCAAGTAGGTCTATGACCACTTTAGTCAGTCCAAGCGTGAAGCCAGCACTCTGCTTTAACTTACATCACAGAGGGGTTAGAGTAATGCATGACACTGACAGCCTATGTGGTATATAATATCTAGACGCAACAGGACGGGGGAAGGACAGCATGGCTAGGAGAGACCCCTTTGAACTCGGGGATAATATTATAAAATGATGTGAAATGTATTTATTAGCTCTTCAGTATTTCACTTGCATGAATATGGTCTGTCACTAATCTAGGGCTTCCTTCTCAGCCTACTTCCCCCTGTATGATCCTTTAGTGAAGCCCTGGGCACAGTCTGTGAGGACGCCAACACAGGCTTCTGATGGGACGAGCAGCTGGGAAGGAAAGGACGCTGTATTCAAACACTAATCTCTTCCATTGACACAAAGGGATACGGGGAAATGATAAATATAAGTCCATTTCTTTTCGTGTACGCTTTTTTATGTTTGAACCTTCCTCTGCAAGGGCCAGATCCCGAGAGACCTGGAGCACCCTAATTTCTGTCGTTCAGTGGGAGCTGAGCGTGCTCTACATCTCTTCAAACGGGGTCCTGTGTCTGAATTTCTGTGCGTCGTTGATTTTTTTGTTTTGTTTTGTTCATATCAAAAACCTCAATGCTGCTTAGATTTTTTTTTTTTTCAGTTTGGGTGTGGATGTGGGCGTCTCTATATTCAGGTACCATGTATATTGTAGATGTATAATATGAGCATGTGTGGTTCTAAATGTGGGTGGTTTGTCTAGGGATCGATATCTATTTCCTGTTTGTATACATTTACCAACCAATGGATCAGGCTTGAGGATAAACATTTGTTTGGCATTTCCATGCTGCTAAGACTTTTTTTTTAAACATTGGCATCAAGACTAAGGTGGTTTTCGGGCCATGAACTGAAAGATGGTAGAAAAATAAAATTGTTGTTTGCCACTAGCTGCAAGGCTTTTAAACTGTGTATCCTGGGGAAGGAGTGAGTGTGTGTGG